AATAAACAGGGTTTTTTTGGGGGGGTAGTAATTAGGTTCATCTATTTATTTTTGGAAGAGGTACTAGGGATTGAACCCAGGACCTTGTGCATGCTAGGCATGCACTCTACCACTTGAGGTATATCCCTGCCTCCAATAATAAACAGTTTTAAAGAGAAAACAGGAAGGAGGAAATTCTGGAGGACAGAGATGGAGCCTCACCCACACCTGAGTTCCCAGCAGCCAGTCAGACAAATTAATAGCAGTGCTTTTAGGCTGAAGTCAGGGTCAAAACTGAAGTTAGGCTCAGAACTATGGTAATACCTTGAAAATACTTGCCTGGCTTTCTTATGAGGCACAGGAGTTGGCACACAGTAGGCCTTGGGGAAGTGTTTTTTGAATGAGCAATGAACGCTTGAACATCGAAGTAGTCCTATATATGTTCCTTGAGATCTGAAATATATTCACTCAGTCACATCCAACCACCTCAAATCTGTCAGGCCTTTGTGAAGGGGATGATCCATACCATCACTCTCTCTGACCCCACACCCAGTGCTACAGAGCCAGGGGCTTCCTCCCCTGGGCTCAGCCTGATTTTTTTAAACCAAGGGTCTGGGTTCCCAGAAGATTTGTACTCTCATCCCTCACACTCTACTACTCGGGGCTCCTTTTGGTCCCACTGACTGGCCCAAATATTGCTTTTGCATGCTGGTGTCTTTGCCAGAAATGCTCTCCCCACCCTCCAACCCCTACCCCAGGCCCCAGCTCTCCACACAGCTGGCTCCTCGTTGTTCACACCTCAGCTCCAACATTTTCTCCTCAGCAGGGCCTTAGCCAGCCATGCTCTAAAGAAAGTTCCTCTGTGATTCTCTATCACTTCTCCACTGTCTCTTTCACAGATACCACCCTTAATATGTAATTATTTATTTCGTTTGCTTTAAAATAACAGGAACAGCAGCTAACACACTGAGTCAGCACTATGTGCCAAGCTCATGCTAAGTGTTGTACAGGGATTATCCTGTTTAACTTTCATAATCACCCCACCAGTAAAAAAAATATGTATCATTTAATTTATTATTATTGCCATTTTACAGATGATGAAACTCAGTACGGAGAGGTTACATGGCCACAGAGCCATGAAGGAACCCCATGTTTGTAACTGATCTCTTAATGCCGTCCCCTGGCCCCAATGACCTCCACCTCCAGTGAAGGTCAAGAGAATATCATTCAACGAAGTATCTCAGATCCTATCGCAGTGCCCAGCATAAAAAAAGGTGCTCCAAAAGTATATGTAGAATGAATGAAAACATTTAAAGTAACACTGTATGATTTCTCTTTGTATATCTCTGACTCCACTTCCCCACAAGTCCCTAGTACACGACCCAGCTTCCAGAAGGTACTCAACACATCCCAAAACACTCGGGGTCGGAAAGAGCTTTTGTTACCACCCAGCTCTGTCCCCTCAGTTCACCAAAGGGGTAGGACTTCTCCAGGTTCTTTCTCCTACCTCTGAGAAGAGATAATCACGCAAGATGGACCATGGAGGACACATGGACTTCAGAGGTCCTAAGAGACTGAGTTCTAATGGAAGAGGTCAGTAGCAGATGCCCTGATGGAGTGGAATCCAGGAAGGAAGGCTAGGGTGCGGTGGAGGGTCTATATGTACTTGCCCAAGCTTGCAGAACAAATAAACACCCTCCACCCAATGCCCTGCATCTTCTGGAAACTGTCCCACATTTAAACATGCTCTTTGGAAATCTCATCACCTCAGGACACACCTCCAGATCTCACTAGGGACCACAGGCTTCTTTGGTCTCCTCTTCCTTCCTCCTCCCACCTCCTCTTTCCCTTTTTCCTAAAGATAAAGAGGCAAAAACACCTGGCAACAAAGGCCTGGAGGCCAGGCCTCTGGTGTCACCTTCAGAAGCAGAGAAGGCCTTTCTGTAGAGGACAAGTAGGGTTTCTGGGCACTCCTTCCTGCCTCCAGTTATCTTCGGTGCTGGAGAGTCCTGAGCATAGAGTCCCAATAAACTCAAACTCTATGTTGGGAAACTTCTAGGAAAGCAGCACAGAAAAACCCCACAGGAGCTGCAATTGGGTTGAAGAGGACAACAGTCTAGCCTGGCATGGCCACAAAGGGGTTCTAAGGTAGGATGGAATTGGGCCTGGGCCTTGAAAGTTGAGAATCACTGGGTTTCATGGGGATGAGAAGGAAACAGGAAATGGCTAGTGCAAATAACACCAAAAATGAGCTAACAGTTACCTAGCATTTACTCTGTGCTTGGTGCTGAGTGAAGTGTTTCACACGCAATAACCTGTTGACATCTCACAACCTTGTGAGATAAGTGCTGTTAATATATCAAATGAAGCACCCAAGGCCCAGAAGCACTAAATAACTTGTCAATTCAGTAATTGGTGGGGCTGGGATTCAAAGTCAGATGTGAAAGTCCAAAGTCCACCACACTATGTGCACCAAGAGCTGAGGGATGGCTTGTGTGAGGGAAAGGAATGTGTGTGAACCCCTGAATGTCAAACTAAAGGTCTGGATGGTGATCCCCAAGGGGGACCATGTGCTGAGCAGTGCTGTAGAAAGAATGGCCTAACATATTTGTGGCGGATGATGGAGAGTCTACTGGGAAGATGGGAATCCTGTGCCCCCAGAAGCTCTACAGTGGTGGGGTAGGGGGGCCGCAGCAAAAGTGAGGAAAGCCTAGAAAAAGAAAGAGTCTACCAAATTGCCAGTTGGTAATCAATGGCGTTCACCTTCAGATTTAAGCAAATAAAGATCTTCCTCCAGTCCCAGTCCATCCACAAAACTCCCATTAAATACCAACCGTGTACCAGGCCCTGCCCTGCTTCTCCTCCTTTTGCTACAGTGAATTCAATCAGGTTGCTGGCAAGTTTCTACAATCCAGCACCTTAAAGTGCTCTCCTCTCCTTCCCGACCTCCACTCTCATAAGGGAGGTGAGTGACTTTTCTTCCACATTTATGTTAAAACCATAGAGTTCACAACCGTATTTTAACTTAAGTTTTTAAGTTTAAAGGTATTTATTTTCACAATACTGGTCTATTCTGCAAAATACACACTGTTTTTTTTTAATTGAGCTCACTTTTAACCTTAGTAGTTTATGATGAGAAAATGTTCTCCCAAAAGTGAATCCTGTGGCTGTCTTCCCCCTTCAGCTACCAACCAGGATGCTAGCAGTACCTCTGTTCAGGATATCACATAGAGGTCAGGGATGGGAACTCACAGCCCAGCCACTGTGACCTTCACTACAACCTCTGGGAGGGAGAGGAGAGAAAGCAAAGACTGGAACCAGGGACATGTTTAATTCTGTAAATTTGATGCTGTGCCTCAGGGAGTCAATCCCACTTTAGAACTGTGTATCCTGAAAAGAAAGGGGAACTCAGCTTCTTACCATTCTTGCACTAAAAAAAACCCCTGTCCCAACAGGCATCCTCATCGGAGGGGAGGGGGGAAAATATTGCCAAAAACATGTGAACTCTCAGACATTCAGGGCCACTCCCTTGATCTCCCAACCACTGCCTTCAGGAGGCTACTCAGCCAGTGGTTCCGCGATGGGAGGAAACTCTCGCTAAACTGGCTCAGCAATTCCCCAGAAAGACTCACTCTGCAGACCAACGCAATGATCCTAAAGGTCTTCGTGTATGTGTTGGGAAGAAAAGCAGGGCACGTTTCCGCTTAGCTTCCCTAAGCGTTGCCACGGGACAGCTGTCTAGCTAAGTCAGGGTAAAGAGGCTTGTAGGAGCACATCTCGCACCAACCAACCACTCCCGAGAGACCCTCTCTACCGCCGGAATAAAGCGGGACTACACCGCGGGAATAACGCAGGAAGAAGCAGCAGAGGCGAACCACTGCGGTTCTTAAAGACTTGTTTGTGTTTAGGCCCACTCGGAGCCCCATCTGGAGGTCGATCCCCTTCCGGCGCGCCCGCCATCAGCCCCCGGATTCCAAGCGAGGCCTCTCAGGCCCGGATCTGGCTCCCCGACCTCTCAGGACCTTAGAGAACCCCCAGCTTCCCCTCCCAGACCTCGGAACCTTCAGGCCCGGGCCGACCTCCTTGTCGGCCTTTCGAGGCCCGGCAGCCTGGCCCCGCGGCTCACCCTCGAGCGTCTCGCACTGCACCAGGTTGAGGTAGTCCGCCTGGGTGAGCACCCCAGCCTTCAGGCCGCGCACCAGTCCCTCCAAGTAGCCATTGTCCACGTTGAAGTAAAGCTCCGGGAAGAAGGACATGGCTGCGACGGGAGCAGCGGGACCAGAGGACCCCGACCCGCCGGCACGCAGCGCAACTCGAAGATCAGCTGATACGGCGACCGCAGCGGGCTGTCAAGCGCATCAGGTGACGCGCAAGCGCCTCACGTGATCACAAAGGGGCGGGACTCTGAGCAGCGCCCGACTTCCGGGTTGTTTCGCGCGGAAGAGTTGCGCAGGTGCGGACTGAGGACAGCCCTCTGGCGCCTGCGCGCCGTGTGGAGGAGTGCCCCCTTGAGCCCTATGAGGGAGCGGCTTGGAGTGTGCGAGGCTGGTCGCGTGGTGGCGCCTATGGCCACGGGAATTCAATTGGGCCTTCTCTTCTAGATTTCCAGAATTTGGAGCACCTGGTACTGTGGGGTGTCAGAGGAGTAAAGGGTGTGGGTGGTGCTTATTATGCTTGGAAATATTCCAGAGTGTTGAGTCAGCCTTCCTCTGAGGGGAACTGAAGTCCTATGAGGAGCGGGCTTCGCTGGGGATCCCACGTCGAGTTAACCCCAAGCAGGCCCTGGAACCTAATGCTTACTAGCCAGGCAGAAGCTACAGCTCCTACGCCGTGCTGAGCTCCCCTTTCCCCGCATTTATTATACGAAATTCTCAAGAGCTGAAGCGTGGCCCTCCTCTGCTTCCCTCAACAGCGCCTAGCACTTTAAGAGCAGTCCTGTAAGTGACTCATGATGGGATAGCGCAGGCCCTGGGATAGGGGTGTGTGTGTGGTTTCTTGGCTTGGCGGTAACTGCCCCTGCCTTGACCTCCCTCCGACAGCCACGTTCGAAATAACGCCACAACCCTGGGGTTGGTCCCATCCTTTATTCACGCCCCCCGTCCCAGCCCTGACCCCGACGACGGCCAGCTAGGTTCGGCTGCAGGGGTTGGTGGTAGTACCCAGCTTGCGGCAGTAGCAGAAGGCATTGAAGAAACGGCAGTAGCACGTGGCACATGGGTCACAGCATGATACCTGGTGTCCCAGACAGGACTCATGCAGCCTTACACAGCGACGTGGGGAGCGCGTCTTGCGTCCTTCCGGATCTAGCACCTACAGGGATTGGGGAGCATGGGCCTCCAAAGGCAGGTTCAGGGTCCTGCCCCTATCCAGGTGGGATGACAGTTGAACACTGGGAGAGGTGGTCTGCAATGTTACCCCAGGTAAGGGGATCACGAAGTAGAGAAAGAGTATGATGCCTGATGCCTCCACCCAAGGCTTGTGGCCTCACCCCTTTCCCTGATCAGTTACCTCTGCCAAGGCCTTGGCCTCAGCCTCCTGCAGCAGGGCCTCTTCTGCCTGTTCTGCATTTGTTCTCTTCAGCGGGGGCTGCAGGCCCAGGCCTGGGACAGATGATATGAGAGCAGAATCTCCCATGCACACAACACCCACCTCCCAAACCTGGGATTGGGCAGCGGGAAAGAGGGCTTATGCCAGGCAGGGTAGTTTGTGGCCAGAGGGTGTCCAGGCCCCACCCAGACCCACCCCTGCCCACACTGACCTTGGAACTCTAGGAACAAGGCTTGTTCAGGCCTTCCGATGCCCTCCAGAGGAGCCAAGCCCATCTGGGCCCCCGGCATGACAGGCATAGCCAGCAGCAGGGCACAGCTCAGCAGCACTGTGGTCACCATGGCCTGGCTCAGCAGGAAGACCCACCACTTAGTCCCTCCTCATCCTTGGAGCACCCTCTAGGTGCCCTATGCCAGAGAGAAGCCCCCCTCGAGAGGAGGAGTCTCTGCCCAACCTGAGGACTTACCTCTGCTTGCTGGATCCTTGCCCCACGAGTTCTTGGCCACCCCATGCCCTGGATTTATATGGCAGGGTCTAATGAAGGGCCCACACGTCACTGCTCCCTGCAGCCAAGGCATGAGGGGCCCTCCCTGGAGGATGGGGGCACAGTTCAGGCCTCTTTCACTGGAATCTGGGCTTTTGGATGCTTTCCAAGAGGGGTACCCTTCTCCAATTTTGGGTAAGGTCTCCAGGAGCCACTCAAAGTTTGGTAATAAAATAGGGGGTTCCCAGAGCCCCCAGATTTCTGCAGGACAGGGACCCGGGGAATGGTTAGGCTGGAAGCATCAGCAGTAACAAAGCAGGCAGCCCTGAAAGCTTAATTTAATTTGTGGCCCCGGAGATGCTCACTCATATCCTACGTGCTATGTTGTTTCCTTTGCTTCCAGGAACTTGGATCAAGGGCATTGAAGAGGGTGATGGGCCAGTGACCAGAGTGAGGTGGGGGTGGGGTACAGATCTAGACTCTTGGGTTTGGGGGGGAGACACGGTGGGGTGAAGCCCATCTAACCAAAAGCAGGCCTTTTTGCCTCCATCCATAGCCCTACCTCCCCTCTCCTTTCTTCCTCCAGGCTCCTCCAAGACCCCCACCACTGCTCCTGCCCCTACACCCTTTTCCTCCTGGGGTTCCTGGAAGCCAAGGTGACAGAACGGACTGTTCCCTGGGTGGGCGAGCAGCTTCAAAGTAAAAAGCTTTCAGGCTGCCTGCCTCATTAGTGCTAATGACTGCTCCTTTCCGCTCTGTGTTGTCAGGCCAGTGCCCACGCCTAGTTCCATCAGCAAAGTGGGACTGCCCTTTGTAGAGATGGTAGGACACACAGGACCCCACCTGTGCCTGCCTTTCCTCACCCCACTGGAGGGCCCTTTATCACACATTTGCCAACCTGGGAAAGGGATGCAGGCTGAATCAGCTTCCAGGACTCAATGTACAAACTTAGCTGGCACAAAGCAGCAGGAGGAGGATAAGAGGCTTTGGGATTTGCAGCCTAGGTTCACACAGGCTATTCTGACCAAAGTGAAGCCTAAGTAAGTCCTCCCAGCAGCGGGTGGAAACCACAGGTTGTCACCTGGCAGCCTTTGCCCTGATGTCAGCACCAGCAATCGGTCTTGGTGTGTGAGTTGCGTGGGGAGGGGCCCTCTGCAGAGGGTTCATCCACGGATGGGCACTGATGTCTGTGATCAGTCTGGGATCAGGCTGGCACTGGGGTCACTTGTGGTTGGCTCAGGGTAACAGTCCTAGAAGTTCAGAAGTTCATCTACTACTGCCCGGGAGAGGAGGTAGGAGAGTAAGGAAAAGGATCTCTGAGGAGGTGATCCCCGGATAATTCAGCAAAGGGCCAGGCCTCATTTCTCTCCTAAGAATGGTACTGACATTGACCTTGCTCTTCCAGAGGCTATAGCTGGGCCCAGTGGCCCTCTTCAGGGCCACTCTTCTCAGAGTGGTACAGGGTAAGGGTATCAGGCACCCAGGTGTGCCCCTCTCTCAGTTGGGCCACTTGGAGCTCAGGAAGGGCAATACATCAAATATACCTGAGGTACTTTTCCCCTGACCCCATCCTTGGAGATTCTGGATGAAGAGATTGTGATAGGGAACAGGGACTGCTTGTGGATCTTGGAGGTGAGGTGGGGGCTCTGAGCACTTGGCTGAACCTCGTCACCACTCATGCTAAGACCAGCTTTTCAAATTGAGGTTGGGGGGGTGCTCCTTCCAGCTGGATGCTCCTCCCAGCCAGGCCCTCAGCATCTTTGCTCATCTACAGAAAGAAGGTGTGTGAACGCGAGTGTATCAGCCCCATGAACAGCGATAGATGAGGGCTCATAGGGGCAGCCCAGTCTTGATCAGATCCAATAAGGGAGACAAGAAACTCAACCATCAAAACACAGTGGAATGGCAGTGGGGGTATAACTTAGTAGTAGACTGCATGCTTATTATGCACAAGATCCTAGGTTCAAGCCTCAGTACCTTTAAAATAAAAATAAATACATAAATAAACAAGAATAAATAAATAAGAATAAACAAATAAACCTAATTACCCCCCCAAAAAACAAACAACAACAGCAACAATAAAAACAATGGAATGACTAGGGAAAAAGAAAACGTCAAATCAGATATTTGATGACATTAAGGAATAATTGTTAACTTTTTAAATTGTGATAATGGTATTGTTGGTCATGATTTTTCTTAAAGCATTCTTATCTTTTAGAGAAATATAATGAAGTATTTACTGATAAAATGATATTAAGTCTGGGATTTGCTTCAAAATAATCCAAGGTAGGGGGGATAGCAGGAGGTGACATGGTTGAAACAGAATTGTTCCTGATTGTTGGTTGGTGATTGTTGAAGCTGGGTGATGGGTACATGGGCTTCATTATCCTATTACTGCTACTCTTGTACATATTTAAAATTTTCCACAATAAAAATTAAAAACAAAAGAGATTTTCTTAAACGCAGTGGGATAAGGGCTTTGATACAAGAATGCCAGCTGGTGAAGGTAACACCTCTTCCCCATGCTATAAGGGGGCTCGGCCCAGAGACACAACTTCCCCTTGGGCCTTGCTCTAATTCCCTCTTTCTCTCCCCTGACAGGCCTCCCCCCTCAGTGCTGGAAGTAGGCCCTTTATTGGGATCCCCAGAACACCTGGTCTGTGGCTGGAGTGCTCAGATGAAACTTCGCAAAAGGCCCACAGAAGACAAATAGGCCCAGCCAAACTGATTCATAGGATGTGACTTGCAATCAGGACCCATGGGCCCCTCCAAGGTGGCAAAGGCCATCCTAAACTCCAATTCCAGCTTCTTCTGAAGACATCTACAACCTGCAATGTCCAAATCTTCAGACATCCAGAGAGGTAGCCAATCCCTCCTCCTGTCTGGCAGCTCCTACTTTTCTGGGTGAAATCATCTGTTTCTGAAGGTGTTACAGCACCCTCTCTTCTGCCTCAGGATGAGTCCATACCCTCAACATGTCGAAAGCAGGAAATTAGCCCCCACACTCACAGGAAACCCACACAAAGTGGTGGGGAGCTTGTTCCATTCCAGGAGATGAGAGGACCCCTGTGTATAACACAGTTTTTTAGGAAGTGCAATTTGAGTCCTCAGCAACCTTCCACAGAGGCATGGCACTGTTGGACTAGGGAGGGGGTACCTGGGAAGTCCCCTGAATTGTTCCTAAACCACCCCCCGGTAGAAAGGAGCAAGCCAACTCTGTGAGGATGTTCAGTGGCTCAGCTAGAGCCCAAGGAACAAAGGTGTCTGTACAACAGGAACCACTGGACTGTCTGGAAGTGCTTCTCAACCCAGAAACTGCTCTTTCTAGTAAAGACCCAGGAGCTCTCCAGCCTGATTGCCCCTGCCACTCAGATTCTGTGCAGGTGAGAACAGAGGCTGCAGGAACTCTGGATATAGGCAAGGAGATGCTGCCTGGAGTGCTGGGCACAGGGGTGAGTCGGTGCCTGGCTTGACAGGTTCAAGGTGAGCCCAAGGTCAGCTCAAGAAAGCAGAGAGAGCTGCAGCTGCCCCAGAGTTGTCTGGACTTGCTCCTTTCTGTTTTTACCCCTCCTCATCCCCTATGCCTCCAGCTGCAAAGAAGGACTAGGAGGTGGGAGGTATGGGTTCTGGGAGGGGATTGAGTCCTGTTGGGAGCAGTCATCTGGGGCATTGTATGGAAAGGACAACTTTCCAGCTTAAATGAGTCCCCCTGGGGCACAGCTCTCACCCAGGCACCAAGCCCTTGCCTGGTATGAGAAGAAGAGCTCAAAGGTTGCCCGCCCCCCACCCCTGCCAGCAGCCTCACTGGTCACTTTCCACTTTTGCCCCTGTCAGCCCTGCATAAACTGTCTGCACAAGGCCCTGGGTAGGGGTCCTCCTTCCCAACTTTGGCCAAAGCCATACTGCCTCATCCCTTTTCCTGCTACAAATTTATCCAGTGCCCTATAGCAAGACTCCTATTCCATACATTTAACTCTCAGTAGAACATTGAACTAAACATTATCATCACCGTTTTACAGATCAGAAAGCTTTAAGTGACTTCACTTTGATCACTCAGCTAAAAAGGGGCTGGCCTGCTTTCCTCCCTTCCTTCCATGGCCCAGGGTATGTTTTAGAGCTGGAGAAGAGGGATAGTAAGTATGCTCTGTGTTTGTGTGTCTGTGTGTCTGTGTGTGTGTCACACACATGTGTGTCTGTGTGTCTGTGTGTGTGTCACACACATGCATGCACTCCAGAGCAGGGCTCAGCCCTAAGGTGTCTCCCCACACACCCACTGTCTATGGGAACCATTCACCTACCCACAGAGCTCCCAGGGGATGCAGAGACAAAAGCAGGCAGCTACTCCACCCACCCTCAGCTCAGCCCCCAGGAGACTGTGGGCTCAGCTGGCTGCCAGAGCTGTGCTGAGTGTCCTTATGCTCTTGGACACATTTCCAAATAATCCATGAATCCAAGGAGAAATCACAAAGGAAACTAGAAAATGTTTCGAACTGAATGATAATTAAGTACAATATATCAAAGGTTACAGATGCAGCTAAAGCAATTCATATTTAAGTGGGTATATTAGAAAAGAAGAATGGTTAAAAATTAATCACATAAGCTTCTTTAAGTGGGGGAAAGATATTTTCAATAAATAATGTTGGAGCAAGTGACTCTTTGTTTTACCTGTCCCTTACAGCCTTCACAAAAATTAATTTGAGATGGATCATAAACATAGTTGTGAGGGTAAAACAATAAAGCTTCTAGAAAAAAACATAGAATATCTTCATAACCTTGGACTAGGCAAAGGTTTCTTAAACAAAGCAGAAAGTACTAACCATCAAAGGGTGATAAATTAGATATCATTAAGGCTAAGAATTTCCGATCATTAACTGAATATAATTAAGAAAGTGAAAAGATAAGCCACAAACTGGGAAAAGAACATTGCAATAATAGACCCAAAAAAGGATTCATGCAGAACATATAAAGAATTCCATAATTGTTGAGGAAAAAGGATTTGAACAGATCCTTCACAAAAGAGAATTTCCAAATGGCCAAGAAACACATGGAGAGGTTCTCAATATCACTAGAGAAATTTAATTTGTAGAGAAATGTGAATTAAAATTGC